TACTGTATTATTTGACTACTCCTGTTGGTTAAGACAGACAATAGAATTATATAGACTTCATGTACTGTATTAATAGACTACTCCTGTTGGTTAAGACAGACAATAGAATTATATAGACTTCATGTACTGTATTATTTGACTACTCCTGTTGGTTAAGACAGACAATAGAATTATATAGACTTCATGTACTGTATTATTTGACTTCTCCTGTTGGTTAACACATACAACAGAATTATGTGTGTTAATTGTTTTATATTTCATGTGGGCGTAATTTATACACCGATAGTATTTTTTAAATGTTACTTTTGTGTTTGTTATAATCGTTAATGAATGGTAAGGTTTTTGGAATGTTAACATTATTTAAATATTGAATTTATTCTGTTTTTTTTAAATATTATATATATGTTTTTTAAATTGTAACTTTTATAAACACTTTATTCGTTAATGTTACATCTTTAAATACATTTTCTGTTTTATAAAAATCAAACACATTTGAGTAGTTTACATTTCTGAGTCGTGGTATTAATTAAATAATTAATTAATATTTTGAACCAGTCTAGTTTTAAAAAGGATATTTGGTACTTAGTTACAAATGTGTTTAATATATTTATATCAGTTGTTAAATATTTTTTTCTTTTTTTACAGATTTATTTAGATGGCTTGACTAGACTTGGGCATAATACTGCTTTGGACTCGGAACATACTCAGGTTCAAGGGATCGTTAAAGAATCGAACGGTAAACTCTCTGCCAACATTGATTACAGAAAAGATGCATCGATGATAGGATTTTAACGTTCGTTTATCACTGATACGCATATTTTGAAATTTTATTATGTTTGTGAACTATTTCATGTCAATATAATAAATACAGACACATGTGTCAGAAGTTGTTATTGTTGTATCGTCAAAAGAAGTAATTCTAAAATATCAATCGAAGCAGTTCTTGTGAAGTAAAATAAGTATTATATATTCCTTAGCATTTCTAAACAAGTTTATTATAAAAATGTCAAACCTGTTGTTGTATTGAAGAACAGTATGTAGACATACTTCTTAAAACATGAATTAATCTGGACTTAAAGTGAGCGATTTAAAAGTTAATTTTGTCGTATATTGTCTCGTATTTTCTGTATATATATATTATTAAGAAAATATTTTAAACGATATTTCAGAAACTAATATTTTATTTCATAATTGTATGAGATCGGTCGTGTTATATCAGGATAGTAAGTTATTTATCTGAAAGATACAAATAAAATACATTTGTTTACACTGTTAGTTTTTCTTTGTCCCAAAAACAACCTTTTTTTTTTTTTACCGAATGTTAACTAGTTTTTGATTAATCAGAATCATTATTTTAAAATTTTGTGTCTTATGATTGTTATTCGTGGTCCTAGTGTTTTAGTTATATTGTAGTCACTAAAACTCGAGTAAACTGTATCAATATTACGTGTAGAAATTAGTTTTCTTAGCATTTTGTAATTTGTGAGAACAAAAAAAAAAAGCTACCAAATAAACAGACAAAGAATAATAAAAAAATATTCATGTTTATTCACAAATTATTAAACCATGTTGATTGATATTCTACGAACCTACTGTAAGAAATATCCAGTCAGTTTAACAGTCAAGTTACGTACTATAGATTGTATCTTATTGGATGAAGGATTTATAAACCATTTGTAAATAAAGAACAGATGTAAAATACTATTTTATAACATGTAATATTTTTGTCAGTTTACTGATTATTAAGTCATGCAACATGTAAGATTTTTATTGATATTTATGAAAAAATTATAGCAAATGTTACTGGATTGATTTAACGGCTCACAGAAAGGATGGAGAATTAATGTTAATATTTTAATGATCAAAGCTTTATAAAGTTTGTAGCTTTTGGTTTTGTTATCCCTTTGTATTAAATAGTAACCGAACTTTGGCCAATCCCAGTTTCCGTCCACAGAGAAGTACTTGTAAATGTTGTTGTCTTGCACGATGTTCTTTGAAATAAAAGAAAAGAAGAATTACTGTTTTGTATAGCTACTGTTTCAGAGTTTTACGCTTCCAAGATATCATGATAACACATCTTT